TAATAAACCATTTTTTTTTCATTAATTTCCAATAAATATTCTGCAATTTGAGGAAATATAAAAAAGAAAAAAAAAGTATTGCTCTTAATTTCGTCCCCAAAAGTCTTCCTCGACCCAAACGGAGTTTCAAAGACCAATCACTATTAAGCTCTTAGAAATACATTATACATTATGTATATTTATGTGCATGTATAATATAAATATATGTTCATATGTGTGTGTGAGTTCATACGTGTATGTGTGTGTGTGTGTGTGTGTGTGTGTGTGTGTGTGTGTGTGTGTGTGTGTGTGTTCATGTGTGTATATGTGTGTGTGTGTGTGTGTGTGTTCATGTGTGTTTATATATGTGTGTGTGTGTGTTTATATGTGTGTGTGTGTGTGTTTATATGTGTGTGTGTGTGTGTGTGTGTGTGTGTGTGTGTGTGTGTGTGTGTGTGTGTCTGTGTATTCGTATGTGTGTGTGTGTGTGCATGTATAATACATATTTATATATCAATAAATATTCATAAGTCATATATTCATATACATTAAGCCACTCTCTGTTTGTCTTTGCCGGAGTGCCATCGGCCAAGTGGCACCTCACCTACCATGGGATTCCCCTTCCCCCCTCCCTCCCCCCCGTGCCCACGATAACACATGCACCAAGGGGTTACACTCCCCCTCCCCCCCTTCCCCCCTAGTAGCTTTCCCTGGCTCCATCCCCCCCCCCCGAGCTCTGGACCCCCATGTGAATGCATTTCCCTCGGGCCCATGGTAATATATGCGCCTAGCCAGGGCTCCGTCTGTACCTCTGGGCCCCTATGTTATTGTATGGTAATATATAGTAATATATGTTAATGTTCCTTTTGTTAATATATGTTAATAAATGGTAATATATGTAAATATATGGTAATATATGTCTGTACTCTGGACCCCAATGTTAATATATCATAATATATGGCAACATATGGCAATATATGTTGATAAATGTTAATATATGTTAATATATGGTAATATATGTTAATATATGGTAATATATGTTAATATATGGTAATATATGTTAATATATGGTAATATATGTTAATATATGGTAATATATGTTAATATATGGTAATATATGTTAATATATGGTAATATATGTTAATATATGGTAATATATGTTAATATATGGTAATATATGTTAATATATGGTAATATATGTTAATATATGGTAATATATGTTAATATATGGCAATATATGGTAATATGTGGTATTATATGTTAATAAATGTTAATATATGGTAGTATATCGTAATATATGGTAGTATATGGCAATATGTGTTAATAAATGTTAATATATGGTAATATATGGTAGTATATACGCCCAGCCAAGACCCCCAAGACTTTCCAAGGCTCCGAGCTGATCTCCCTTCCGCAGACGAGAGCTTTAACCTGCGATTCCCAGGCTATGTGTTATGTATAGGTTGAGCGTCTTGACACTTGACCCACATAAGAGTGTCAAGTGTCAAGAGACCGGCTGTCAATACGAGATGGATTTCAATTTTCTCGCTCTTTCAATTTTCTCGTTCTTACATTCAATGCTCTCGGAATTTTCCCTTTCCAGTGCTCTCGGGGAAAGGAACGTTGGGAGTTTGGGGTGGGGGGTTGGGGGGGGCAGGGCCGGATTTTTACCTTTAGGGGCCCCTAGGCTAATGAAATCATGGGGGGGCCCCCTCAGAATATTTTCTTATTTGGGATATATTTTAGCGACATTGACATAGCTATGAAGTAAACTTATTGCAAAATTCTTTAAATAAACTAGCATAGCTATCTTTGGTTTTGTCAATAAAAAAAAAAAAAAAAAAAAGTTCTTTATATACCACTATTTTACTATATTTCAACACAGCCCCTAGGATAATCCGGCCCTGGGTGGGATGGGGGGGTGGGGGGGGGGTAGGGGAGGCATTCAGAAGCATAATTCCTATAATTTCTAAAATCTCTATCTGCCTGCTAGCGAGTTCGAGAGGAATCCGTCAAATTAAAAAATTCTTGCGATCTGTTCAGCGGAAGTATTCTAAAGAGTCCCTTCCATTGTTCTAAGTTATTCTAAGGAATAAAAGTTTTCTAAAGAATCACTCCCATTATTCTAAGTTATTCTAAGGCATAAAAGTCTTCTAAAGAATCACTCCCATTGTTCTAAGTTATCTGAGGAGTCCCTTCCATTATTCTAAGTTATTCTAAGGCATAAAAGTTTTCTAAGAAATCATTCCCATTGTTCTAAGTTATTCTAAGGAGTCCCTTCCATTGTTCTAAGTTATTCTAAGGCATAAAAGTCTTCTAAAGAATCACTCCCATTGTTCTAAGTTATTCTAAGGAGTCCCTTCCATTATTCTAAGTTATTCTAAGGAATAAAAGTCTTCTAAGAAATCATTCCCATTGTTCTAAGTTATTCTAAGGAGTCCCTTCCATTATTCTAAGTTATTCTAAGGAAAAAAAGTCTTCTAAGAAATCACTCCCACTGTTCTAAGTTATTCTAAGGAGT